ATCCACTATCGGACTTGATTGACATCAAGAATAAGCTGTCGCGTCGCTAATTTACAACATATTTTGTAAATAAAAATTACAACAAATGTTGTCAATTTACGGATATATTTTTCACGGTGGTCACGTTACTCATCACTATTTCAAGATCACAGATTGGGTGCGCTTTCAGTTTCACTTTTCGCAGCGTCGGACGGACCGACGCGCTTACAGAGGCATAAGACGCGCGTTGTGACTTGCGGAAGATTGATGTGGCGACGAAATGGCACTCTCCTTCTCACAAACGCTCTGCCTCAATCATTTCCTCCTGATTCACTTTTCCTTTCTGCGTGCCCTTTAACAGGTCGAGCCCCACATGACCAAATTTGGGTAAATGATTGCTTGCAAACCGCATAATTTTAAGTTAATGGGCGCCAGCTGGTTGTTAACTTGAGATTTCATCCAAGCGGAAAACAGAGTTAGAAATAGGGCAAGTTTGTGTGTGAGAGAATGACCTCCCTCGCCATCGCCCCGTCATAGGCAGGAACAGAAAAGTGGACCACAGCTGGGTGGCAGGACAAATGTTTTCTCAGACCAAATGCACCCGCTCGGGAAGTGCAAAGGGCCCTGCGTGTGGGAGTGCCGCGGGGAGCGCGGGGTCTAAGACTTACGTTACCAAGACCATAGGAAGAATCAAAGGAAAACACTACTTGCTATTACACCTTATCCCTTGTGCAATCCCTCACATGACCTAATATTGACTCCAGTAGGATAGCGAGGTGACCGTCCCCATGACAGCAGTGGTAATACACGAAGACGCGATTGACACAGCGCACCATCCAGGTCCGGTCCCACCTGGCCCCTCCAGAGCCCCTCGTACATTGCGCTCTGCTGCTTTCTTCGACAACACGCCACATGTGTGGCTCTTGAGGCACGGGGGCGAACCAAAACATTGCCATATAATATTGTGGGCCAGTCGGATGGTCACCTGGCCTGGCAGTGGGGCCTCGAACGGCCCTGTTCCGAGCCCCACCCACGGAAAAGAAAACCGCCTGTTGATATAAGGCGAAAAATATCTCAACCCGTGTTTTTTTTTTGAGTCAAGTGTTTTCACACTGCATAAGGAAGAAACTTCGAAAAGGCAAATGTATTCGATTGAGCTATGTGCGTTTATTGCCACCCCGCTCACCCCAAGTGCCCAGTTTTGAGCTCACTGACCGAAAACGATGGGGAGCAGTAATTCAATAACGCTAAAATTTGCGATAAATCGGCGATGTACTTTTGGCCAAGTCGCATGGAGTGATTCATGCGTACGGATTTATGTACGAAAACGTGCTTAGTTACTTACTCATACAGAAATATGTTAAATTTTGTGCATTAACTACCAAGGTAGATGTACAGATTGTAACTGTGAATACGCAGCAGTGTTGCGGGTTTGCCTACTCTTTACACCCGTAAGGGGCCATGGACCCTGTGGCCATATTGAGTATGCAATCCGCGCAGCACTGCTGGGTATTCACAGTTACAGAAAGAAGTGGATTTTTTTTTTAATATGGACGTCAATTCTTTCTGAGCTGATATTACGCCAGACCACGTCTCGTGTAACAGGCTTCGCGGTATCTCACGAAACGCTGTTACGCTGCCTTTCGTACATTTACTTTGGCCTGCAACGCTGACACCTGAGTCGAGTAGTGGATAAATGTACATACGCGTCTACAGACCACCACTTTCGTGTTGGCTAAGCTAGGCTATCACGCGGAAAACCGATGAATTCCCTAGTTGTGGTGCTTCTAGACCCCCACCGAGGTGATTTAAAACAGTATATATTGCTGAACATTTTTGATTTAGTAATCCATTTTTAACATTTTTAGTACCTGAACTTATGAACTTTGATTTTGTTTAATCAAATACAGTACAGTCTTCTTCAAAAACAGGATACTGCAAAAAGCAGTAGTTTCAATTGTGACACTGAATACAGTACTCTCCAAAACTAACCGTTCAGGTGAGAGGGGCCAGCTCGCTCAAAATAAATAACTAATGATCAAACAACGATAATTATCGGCCTTTGTCTCTTCGGTTGGCGATGGCGCTGCATTCCGCAATGCCTAGGCAGCCGGTCATTTTTCCTGAGGCTGTGTGCCCTTCCTTCTGTGGCCTTTGGGTCTGAATGGAAGTCGGAAATAGGGCAGCGGTGCCAATGCCACAATGACTGGCGCGAACCGTGCAGCACTGCGCTGCGTCTGTCAGCGGGCGACCAGAGAAAAGGGGCGATTAATGAAATATCCGCGACGCCCGGCTGCAATTAAGGTGGCGCAGTCACACCGCGTGAGAAATTAATGTTCATAACCTCGTGGCACGATTGCAGAGCATCACATGCCAAAGTCGTGGCCACATCGCTTACCCCGAGAGTAAAATAAAATAATAAAACACGCTTTTGAGGTCATCAAACTAGACAAACAAAGGTGCCAAGTCGTAGGGGAGCTAAGGAAATTTTCAGTTTAGTGTCTCGACAAAGATCTTTCATAAAACACTAAAGAGCCCCATAAGTTGTTGCTAAAACTTACAGGCTTTGGCAGTTTTAGTGCTTTTGTAAAGGCAGGACTTTGCAAGTTTGTTTCTCTAGTGAGTTACTGACATTTTTTAAACGGCATGTATTTAACGTGGTACGAGCATATCACAGCGGCCGAATGCCTGCGAACTGCGGGTAGGCAACGCGCTCAGCTCAAGTGCCGTTGGGCTGCCTATCATCTAGGCGCTGAGCCCGACGATGCGACGGTAGAGATTGTCCTGGGAAGAGAGTACGATTGAAGTAAACGAAAGACCAACACAGCAATCATCAAATGCGTTCGTGATTTGTCTGCTCAGCATATTTTCTGATTTTCAGATCGGGGTGGTCGAGAGTTAAGAAATGTAGACCACCCAGCTAGAAAGGAAAGTGTTTGAAAAGCACGTCGCAGAGGCGCCAGACCTCAAACGGTACACCAAGGAAAGCTTCAGTTTATTGTTTGGATATACTGATAACAAAAGTATGCAACTAGCATGTTCATGATGGTATTCAACGACATGGTGTCCACACGTTCCAGTGTTGGATCGAAGATTTGAATAATACTTGAGTAATTAAGTGATTATCGACAATAAATTTTAACACTTAAAACTTCAAAATGTCCTAAGCAAAGATGCATGGTCAACCCTCTCTGTCAATTCAAAGGTGTACATTGTATACTTTAAATAAAGCGTACATGGCATGTGTATACATTACTTAATGTGCACATGGCATGTACGCTTTCATAAATGCGTACACGGGTAAATATGTAAACATGGGTATGTACAGGGGTATGTTTACATTTATAAAAGCGTACAGGGCCATGTATGAATTTAGAGAAGCGTACATGGGAACGTGAACATTAATTAAAGTATACTTGCCCTGTATACATTAATTAAGTTATACCTGCCATGTATACTTTATCTAAAGTAGACTTAAATCGCCAGAGAGTTAGTTAAGCACTTTGAAGTGTCCATCATTACTGCTAAACACTTTTCAAAATAAAACCTCCATGAGAACGGCAATTGCACACTTTCCATATCAGCGTATTTTATCACATTTCAAAATTCCACATTTGCGGATGCCTGCTTGTTAATGAGCATATATTGACTTTTTAAATTCACTAACTGTATTTCTTTTCCCTTTGCCGTTCAAGATGACACCCATGGAGCGACGTGAGTTGAGAGAAGCCACCTCCCGCTGCTGCTGCTCTAGACGGAGCGTGGTCCTGGGAGGGTCCTGCGCGCGTCCAACAGGAATGTGCATTGCAAAGACAGCCGGCCGGACGGTCGGACCAGTCGGGGACCTCGCTGTGGCCGAGCTGTGGCGGTGGCGTACAGGTTATATCTCATCACTACACACCTTCCTACCGGTCCGCCGGTCGTCCCAGGAATCCAACACAGTCACACACACACACACACACACACAAACACACAAACACACACACTCACTCCGTACAAGTGGAGATAGCGGCGAACAAGTGTTAATGCATGGGACTTTGTGCAAGCAAGGCGAAGCAAGGCGCGAATGATGGATGGCCAGAGTGGCATCCCAGTCTGCCCCACTTGGTTCCAGTGGTTCCAACAAAATAAAGAAAAAAAGAGAAATAAGGTTCCGATTGAAAAAAAGACGAAAGTTGTTTGCGAATAAAGTCTGCAATGTAATGATTATTTTCGCTTGCAGAATTTGGGAGCAAATGATACGTACGTACACTACTGCTGTATTTTCTTTGCAAAGTTAATCTGAGGCTAGCGTAGGAAAAAAATAGCTTTCCTTCGTGTCTTGTACAGAACCGTGTCCTGGCGTGGGTACCTTGCACTGGTTTCATCACGCGACACAACGGCTACGGTGGTGCCGTGAGCTGGGTGGGTACGTTCGAGACAGTTGCTTACCCCGTCAATTGCCATCGGTGCTCAGGAGCGAGCGAAACAGAAATGTTGTGGAGGCATCCGAAAGAACGTGCAGAGCAGGCCTGCCAACAGCATATCGCGCCGCGAATCCGACCCTTCCTCCACGATCTCTGCACCCGTATCGAATGATGATGCATCGCCAGCTGCAGCCATGCTCGAAAAAAGTTAATCAAACTGCTTGCGTTACTAGTTTTTAACCGCAAGGTAGCCAAACTTGTATAGCAAAGACTAGTAACTACTGCATGGTACTGTAAGGATACTGCAAAAATATATTGGGACCATCATCAGGGTATTGCGCGTTTTGTACCGAGGGTGTTTCGGTGCACGCGCCCACCAGTGCATTCACAGCGGCACATGGCGGTCAACTGTGTGAACGTTCACGGAGAAAAATAGTTGAAGAATAGTTGAAGAATATTTAATGTCTTTCTTGGAGGCCAAAGTTTTGTCCGTTTAGCTTTCTCTCTCACCCTTTCGGCGCTAGAGAGTGTTTTTAACGAAAACCAGCGAAACAATTGCAAGCTTCGAGCAAAGTCGTAAAAAAGGTCGGAAATCGAAATATAGTTGAGGAACTTACCCCTAAGCCACTCATTCGGAGAGAGGTTATCTCCTTGATAAGTATCTATGGGCCTCTTCCCCTCCTGAAATCACAAAAACCGGGTGTCAGCGCCGCAGGCCAAGGATGTGTGCCCGGCGCGTCTTAGCGTAACAGTTTTTCGTGGGATATCGCGAAGCCTGTTAGGCGAGACGTGTTCAGGCGTTCATGAAACTTTCATTGTTGTCACAGCTTATGATTTTCCTAGGCGCAGTCTGGCACCATTTTTTAGTACAACGTAATTTCCGAAAATGTAAAATAATATTCTTTGTACTTTCAAAAAATGCATTAAGTTTCCAGTGAAAATTCACGGACAAGGCGAGTCTGTGACCGGCCTAAATAGAGAGCAATACGCTAACGACTAAAGCTTTGAGCAAGAGAAGTATACACCATTAAAAGCATTCTGTGAGCAGATGGGCGGTGATTAAAATATACCATAATGTGTCAAAGCCTTTATTAAAAGATTGTGTCGTACGAGTTGAAAAAAAAAACGAAGAAGAAACACCCACGTAGTCCAGCGCATTCACATTCGCCACGGCGTTGATATTTTGCAGTCGTTTTCGTGTTCGCGCCTCGCTGAGCTGCATCATGTTTGTTGTTGGCCCCAAGAGGGTACAGCCTGCATCGTTCATTTCGTGCTGTCCCCGTGGATTACACGGCGAACACATCCAGCAAATTGAAAAATTACAAATGAAAACTAAGCAGAGAAAGGAGGGAAATACGCACGTATTTATGCTGTTTCTAGACGCCAGCTAATAACGAAAGTTTTCGATAATTTTACTAGGGTTATTTCGATAATCTTCTAAAGTTAACGACTCTCAAACGGTGGTTAACCTATGGGGATTCTTTCAGTATTATGTCAGACTCATCGCGCAGAAGGATTTCGGCTGTATGAATTTTAAGAGTGTCACTTGAACTTCTACTTTGCACTTGTGTGGTTTTCTCAACAACAACCCTAAATGTACTTCTTAGTTTGCAAACTTTGTTTTAGCCGCGAGCGCAAGTAGTATTCCTTGTTCTCGAGGCCCGCTCTGCCGACCTTGCTCGCCCCCTTATCTGTCCCACGTTAGGCATTCGGAGAGCACCCATGTCGAATGACGCACCTAGAGAGGTCACGTCCAAGTCAGGTGGTCGCGCGCGCTCCCTCGCTCTGATTGGCTGCGCGGGAAGGGGCGCAGCCGCCGTGACTCTTATTCGAACAGCAGACCGGTGCTCTGCAAGGCCCTTATCTCGTCGTATCGTGACGTATCGTGCCGCTCGTGCACGTACCTGGTGGGGAGGAAGGTGGTAAGAGCAACGGAGAGAACTGTGCATGGTGTAATGAAAACCGAAACTAAAGAGTCCCGACTCATCCCAAACAAAGCACTACCCTGCCTCTGGCATTTGATTAAAGAACATTATCAGCAGTATGAGTCCATCATACAGGGCATCAGGTCCTCGTTTTCACTACAAAATCCTATATCGTCAAAAACCGTGGGAACTATACAACATATAAATTAATACAGATACAACCGAAAGCGAATTGAAATATTAAGAGACATTAGCTCCTCGGACCCATTGCTTAAATATCCCACGCCATTTTTTATCGCCTTGTCTTTATTTACGACTATCCTAGAACTGGCCGACGAGATTGGTGGCTCCTGTTCTGATCAATATTGTAGGTGAGTCCCTTTGCAGAAAAGGAAAAGTGCTGGAGCAACCCGGTTATCTCTGTTTGACCTGAAACCGTCATTCATTCAACCAACCGAATGAATTTACAGCGCGGGAACATTTAAAACTCATCTCAGGGTGCCCCAGTGACCAGCCATGGCGCTTGCTCTGGCGAGAGAGTAAGGGCACATGAGACTGGGACCGGCGGAGGGAACGAGTCCGAGAGAGATAGGCTGGACAACCTGTTAATATCTCATCAAGATATCAGAAGTCGCTCAAACTAAACGCTATCGGCCATCGAGGTCTGCGCGACCCCGAGCCTCATAATGGAATCGGTGACGAAACTTGGACCGTAATTGAAGAATACGCCCGACCGATGTTTTGGAGGTATGTAATTATGAAAATTCTACATATAGCAGACGCTGAAGTCTTCAAAAAAAGGTAATTAAGAAGACGTGTGAAATTATCCCAAAAACTTCTTCGGGAAAGAAAATGATAGTAACAGAGATAAATTTCTTTGCAACGAATATGCCACGGAGAGGATAACGTAGCAGCCCTGACGAAAGGTAGGCCGTGCGCTATGCACTTGGAACAGGTGCGACCCAGGTAGCACAAACATATCCAGGGTTTATCGCCCGGCAATCGCCGGCGATTTTTATTTTTCGCCGCGATATCGCCGGCGATGTTTTACGGATATGAGGTTTGGCACAAATAGCACTGTCGCCTCGATGTCGCCTGATGACAAAGATTCGACAACTTAGCGGCGACATCGCTCGAGCACTATCGCCGCGACGAAGCAAGCGATGAAATGGCGACAGACTTTTCAACGGGTCTCGAACGATATATGTCGCCACTATAGGGAATCGATGTAGAAATTAATTGATCGCTGATTTAGTATCGCCTGGCTATCGCTAGTCTTTCCGTTTGTGCATGTGCCCGTGGCGAGAACTTTGAGTTATCCGAGCGATACAAAAGTTAAAGTTATGTCAAAAATGTCGTCGCCTAGACATCGCCACGTTTGCAAACCGGCGGTATATTTTAGGCGACAAAATAGCGATATTGAGGCAATATATATTCGGAACTATAATTCGATAAAAAAATTGAAAGAATTGACCTTGGCTAGACTCGAACCACATACCTTTGTGTTACTGGACAGCTGCCTTGACCATTCAGCTACGGGGTACCCGCTGAGAGCCGGGCGTCAGCTACCGGTGTGCCTCTCTTTCTTGGGGACTTTCCCGCCCGCGAGCGACCGACCAGCAGACCAGCGAGTCGGCTGAGACATTTTTCAGATATCTCCAAGTCATCGCCAGGGCGAAAATGCATGTGGAGGACTTAGCGAAATTCGTCAGCCGTGCGATACTAGTAGCTTGCTAACTAGAGAATATCTGACAGATATCCGTACATGTGCGTATTTGTGGTTAATATTGGAGATACAGAAAGAATAGCGCCTCGATATCTACCCCGCATCAGTGCTACGATCATGTCGCCGAGTTATCGCCACATTGCTCTTGAGGCGCTAGCCCAGGTGTTCTCTAGCCAGGTCAAGGTATCGCCAGCTTATCAAAGTATTTCATGCAAGCAATAATTCTTTTTCATCTGGTGAGCGACATACTTTATCCCATATCGCGGCGATAACTCTAGGCACCAAAAGTTAATTTGGTGGAAAGTTGCACAGCGCATAGTTATCGGAAAATTATCGCCTGCGCGTCATCTAATGACGGATATCCTAGCGATAGAGTTTTGGCGAGCATTAACTTGATCCTATTTCCACATCTACTAGTTATCGTGTCACCATCGCCAGGGCGAAAACGCCATCGGTAGGTCGAGGCGATAAACGTAAGCGACAGCATGGCGACATCTGGTACATTTTATTTAGAGAATATCGAACAGATATCCACAAAAGTATGTATTAAAGTAGACATCGACAGGATGTCGCCTCGCTCTCCGCCAGGCGATAGTGTTTAAATGATATCGCCAAGTCATCGCCGCTCCAACCTCCAGGCGACTCATCATCGCCCGATATCGCCGTGCTACATGGGGAGGCACAAGTACGGCGACCGTGTCGAATGGCGCGCCGAGAGGACGTGGGCCTCGCCGAGCATCAGTCACCTGTCTGCCGAAGCGGCCGCGGTGCGGTGCAGAGAGTGCCTGCTCTCCTCGCCAAATCATTAGACTCGACTTGGCTGGCCACGGTATTTGTCACTTAGTGGAGTTCCCCTCCCCGCTCCCTCTGCTCTTGATTAACACATTTCATTTTGATTGTGGCCGGACCCTGGCCCACATGCGCCCGCCCAGCAGCAGCGGTCCAGACGCGAGCAAGGTCCCCGCCGCGCCACGCCGCGCCACGCCGCCGCCAGTGCAGCGCTCTATGCAGGCTCTAATGCATCACACGAGGCGCCATTACAGCCAGTCATTACACCGCGATTATGACACGAGTGTCGCCTCGAGTCACACACTGCCGAGGGGTCGCCAACTACCTCAGCCGTGTACTGAGTATTATGATATTGGGCGGTATTATGGCGCGTTCTAAGGAATTCATATTATTTTTTAAAATTATTTATTATTTATTTATTGCCTTAATAGGTTATTTGATATTAGGAAGTACTATGTAGCAATATAAGGAAGGTATGTAGGGTATTTTGTGGCATATTATAAAGGTATTATGGGACCCACGTACGGAGTATTATGTGAGTTGGCGACCCCTCGCACACTGCCATCCACTACTGGGAGAAACGAGTCACAACAGTCCCCGCTAAAACACAACGAACGGACACAAATATTTTTTTCTGAAGTTACACGAGTCACAACAGGCCCCACTAAAACAAAACGCACGGACAGTAATATTTTTTTTGAAGTTTAGCAGAATTGTAAGAAATATATAATTTATCAGTTTAAACCCCATAGAATCTGCATTTCTTTACCTGTTCTGGAGAAGTTATCAATGGGCCCCCTACCCTTTTCCACACATGGGTCATGGGTCTGGTGGGGGAGAAGGGGGGGGGGGAGGTAGCCGCAACAACAAGCCGACCGGGCCGCCTGCCTGTCCCTACGTAATATAATGTCCGCGCGATCGAATTTTATGCGGCTAATGCGTCCTTAATCTTCTTATATGGCCGCCTATTCGCCTACTCGCCATGGGCCAGCCCGGGCGCCGGTTGCGTTTGGAAACGCTCGCGTGCGCTCGCTCGCTCCCACTGTGCGCAGCGAGGAGAGGCAGGAGGAGTGCAGGGGACGCGCGTTCAGCCTGCAGGCTGCAGGGCGGTGAGGTGTTGGCCAACGGTATAGAAATGTCAGTGGCCCAAGTGCACGAGGCAAATCCCATACGCCACGCGCTCGCCATCTGCAGAGCCTCTCCCGAGGCCTCTCCTCCACGGAGCGCGGCGCCGGCCGACA